GTGTTTAGTTGGGCAAAGTTTACGCGCAAACTTTGCATAGTGAAGATTCCCTATTGTAGCATTTCGTTTCTATTTGTGAATTATTGTCCAAACATTGACTAATTAGGCTCAAAAGATTCGTCTCGCAAAGTTAAAGCAAACTGTGCAATTAGTTTTTGATTTCGTCTACATTTAGTACTCCATGCATGTACCGCAAGTTTGATGTGACGGGGAATCTTCTTTTTGCATAGTACACTCTTCAGGGGTTTGGAGGAACTAAACAAGGGCTTATTCTAATGATTCTTCAAATAAAAATGTCTCTTTTAAGTGTAGCCGACACTACTTCCTTTGATCCTAAATTTAAGCCTATGATAACCCAAAAGCACATGGTTGCTTCAATCTTTCATATTTACCCCCCACTAAACTGCGCACTAATTATGAAATACACTTACAGCCTGGACCGCAGAAATGCTATGCCAAGACAAGTTAGGCTCCGTTCAGCTGCACTCTTTTGCAGCCGCAGCCGCAGCAAACGTGAGACAGTAACAGTAGTTAGAAAACAAATGGCACAGCTGGAGCGCTGTAAATAAGTGCAGCCGAATAGGCCCTTGCATCAGGAGGAGGAACCATGTACTCTGTCTCGGGTTTGCTAGCGTTCAGACGTCTGAAAGGATAAGGCGTCCAGGGTGCCCGCGCCTGTAGTCCGTTTTTCGTGCCCACGCAGGCCCGTGCCGCCCCGAACGTCACCAGCATCGAGAAGAGGGGGAGGGGCGGCGAATGCCCAGCGGCACCGGGACGAGGCAGCAGAAGGTGAGGAGGGACATGCAACACCCGATCTACTTTTGAAATATCCGGATGCAACACTTACAACATACGTCTGAAGACAGATAAAACATTTAAAACATGCATCTGAAACACTTGCAAAAACACATGAAAAACACTTAAAAACCATTGTAAAAACATACGCAATATCCAGATAAAACACTTGCAACATATGTGTGAAACATATACAACATCCAAATAAACATACTTGCAACATACGTCTGGAAAAACAGGTGAAACATTGAAAACAGAAGCTTGCAACATACATGTATAACCATTGCAACATATGCAGCATCACGATCTACTTTTGCAACATCCATATGAAACACTTGCAACATAACTCTGGAACATTTGAAACATACATCTGAAACGCATGAAACATACTGAGCTCGACGCCGGCGCAGAGCTCGATGCCACGGAGTGGCGCGGAGGTCGCCGGTGTGGAGCTCATCGGTGGCACGGACCTCGACAATGGCCTCGGATAACTAGATCCTGCCCGCGGCGCCACGCTTCGCTAGGCCCCACCGGCCGCCGCACCTGCCACTCAACTCCTAGGGTACACCGGTCTAGGCACTAGCCTCTAGCTAGGTCTGGGACGTAAGAATGGACGGGGAAGGAGAACGGACTGGGAGGGGCGTGAGCCGCTTGACGCGGAGAGACAACGTCTAGTGCTAGGCTGCGGCGGCGGATTGCGCTTCCGGGCGGTGCGGGTGGGGGCACGTGGCGCGCAGCGTGGACGGGCGATGCGGGCGGGTTGGGATCTATCCGTCTGGACGGACACCTTCAACCGAGCATTACCGATTGGCCGTTCGGCTGTTCCATTTTTCGCTTGTTTCAGCTTATTCTCTCTCACAGAATACTATTGAATCATCCGAAAGGTCTCGATCTTTTGGGTATCAACCGGTCTCCGGAACAAAATTTTCCTACTAGTGCTTTTTCGTTGTACCATATATTTACGAAGCATAACAAGTTATACTTTATGTAGTTAGTTCTTGTCTCTTGATGCAAATCTAGTGGCACCATTTCTACTACCTAAAGATCAACACAAAAGGTACTTTTCAACAAAAAATTGACCCAGTGTAACCAAATTAACTAAGTTGTGACCAGAGGAAGTAAGATCCTACCGGAGATGTGTTTTTCGATAGAGAGAAAAACTGACGTAACAAACCAAGATGCATACCTCTTAATGATCCCAAAATAGCTGCACTGATTAATGACGGCTGGTATAGCCCTAAGCAAGCGAGCGAATTGTAAACGGAGAACTGGGACGTGAAGGCGGTGGTTGTCAAGTAAAAAAAAAAGAAAAGAAATGTCAGTGTCGCCGTGTCGGTGTCACTGGTGACTGAAAGAAGCAATCCTTTGATGATCAGAAAGTCGTTTTCATCAATAGGGACGCGGCGATGTCCCCACAGCTTTCCCTGACGCCAAACGAAAACGGCGCCGGGTGAACACGGCAGAGGTGCGGTCCAGAACCGCAAGGGAGCAAGGACCCCAAGGAGACGATGCGTTTCGAATACGCCGGCCGATCGATACGCGATCCCGGGTGTGATAACGCATGCCTTAGCAAACGTTGGAAGAATTTTTGCTCCACGAATCCCTCGTTCCTTCCTTGCCTTGCGACGCTAGACTCTACGAGGCTATGCGCATATGATTGCCAGTTTGCCACACTGAAAAGGACACAAATTGGAGAGAAGCAAGGGGAGACTGTGAGTTAAACCATCAATGACATCAGAGAAGGTGGGTTATATAATTTGTAGGACATCGATTATTGACCAAATTATCGCATATGAGCTGACGTTTATTTTGTACATATCTTAGATCAGAGCGAGTGGGCAAGAATTGACCTTTCAATCGATTGAGTTGTATATATCGTATAAATATTTCTGCCCCTAAAATGGGACCTGAGCTTGTCAAAACGGACTTCTTTTTTGTCCTTCAGATACAGAGGGCATAAAGCTTGTCAAAACACATGACTTCGAGCTCCGAACTCAGGAGTGGAGCCTATAGACAGTTTCTATCTTGCATTAGAACCGGACCTGAACACCATTTTCTCCTCCGATAATGATCCTACTCGAGCCTCCATGACTCCCGTCCGGCGGACGCGGCTCTCCAGGAGCGGGCCTAAAAAACAAAATTCCTACTCCCTCGTGCTTACCCACCCCGAATCCCCCACTCCCCCACCACACTCCTTCGTACTTATCCACCCGACCCCAAAGCAGCGTGTCTGCTCATTGATCGCGCCTCTTCCCCCACCGCGTGCTCATTGGCTGCCGCACCATGCCCCACCGCCCCGCGCGGCCGCGCCACGCGCCCATCCCAGACAGCTGTGCCGCTCGCTCCCTCGTTGTCCATCCGTCCGTCTCCCATCACCATCGCGCACGCCGCTGATCCCGCAATGGCCGCTGGGGCGCATGTGCCGTGGCGCTCAGGTCTTCCCTGGCCGAGCCAAGGGCACCCACGAGCGCGGACGGCGCCGGTGGTGCTCGCATGCCGCAGCTCGCCGACGGTTCCAACCCCGACGGTCGTAATCGACCGACCCAGCCTTCCCCTTCACTATATTGCATATGTATATTTCAAGTGTTTCAGTCATTTTATATGTATGTTGCAATTGTTTCATCTTGACGTTGCAAAAGTAGAACGAGGGATGTTGCACATGTTGCATATGTTGCAAGTGTTTCAGACGTATATTGCAATCGTTGTTTATATGGATGTTGCATATGTGTGCAACAGTATGTTCTAAATGTTTTAGTTGTTCCAGTCCTATATGTTGCTGCAAGTGGCTTCATGTTGCAAGTTCCAAGTGTTTTATTTTGGATGTCTCATGTGTTTCACACATATGTTGCAAGAGCATGTTTTTAAATATTTCATTTGTTTTCAGTCTTATGTTGCAAGTATTTTTTTTGTTCGGTGGGGGCGAGTCGGTGGCAGTCGGACGGGGCACACGGCGCGCCGAGGGGTGGGGGGCGACGGACGGGGGTGCTGCAGGTCGGGGCGCGTTGGCGGCGTGTTCATCCTTATCCGCTCATCCCGGTTCCCGTGTGTCACTCACGCGGAGAGTTAGAGAGGGGAGGGGGTCAGAGGAAGGACCGGCGAACACAGAGACAGGGCGGAGAGCCAGAGAGCACTCGTGGACAGGGCGAAGACGAGTGGAGACAGGGCATCGGAGGCCGGGAAGGGCTGCGCAGGTGTCCGGACGCCATGCCCTTTCTCCTCAGCCAACAAGTTGGATAGCCAATCAGAACGGGACAACAGTAAATACGATACATACAAATGACGTAGCCAACAGCACGTGGCATAACACAATGAGTACGACCGGCATAACACAATGGTACTACCACCTCCGTTCTAAATTATAAGTCGTTTTAATTTTTTTAGTTTATATTATATGTCTAGATATATTATTATATCTAGATGTATAGTAAAATACATGTATAAAAAAGTTAAAGCGACTTATTATTTAGAAACGAGGGAGTACTACCAAATTAGTGGCACAAGACAGCAAGGAACATTCCAGTATTCCACGCCCTATGAACATCCCAGATGCAGATATCAAATCTTCACAGGCTTGAAGAAAAGGCCTTTGGAGTTTGTTTGGGTTCTTGGCCGAAAGGAAAAGGGAACAAAAGGAGATTTGCTTTACCTTTTCATCGCAAAAAGCCATTCCAGGAAGAAACGGGAACAAAAGGAGATTTGCTTTATCTTTTCAGCGAAAAAAAGCCATTCCATAGAGCCGTATGTACCTAGAACCTTTTTTTTATTATTCTTCAACAGACAGAAGATGGTATACACCCTCTAATCAATACCAGATGACCGTCCAGGCTCAAAGAAATAGCAAAATGGTGAAACTCCACAAGATTGCCTACGTTCCAAAGGAGCCTTGCATGGGTACACATAAGAACCTTGAACACTGGAAATATTTTTAACAGGACTGAGTGAAAATATGTTGCCGATTCAGCAAAGGGCACGGGACTTTTAGAATAGACATAGCACTTGGTCACTATATCCTGAGGTTATCAAAGAATCAAACCTTAATATGCTACTATCACCAGGTAGTGCGGAAGGCAATTCCCGAGATCTTGTAAAGAAGCTGACAAGATTTGTAAGCAAAGCATGTTTTCATTTCTTTGTCAAGCACAGATTCGGTTGCTCTACAAGTTATAAATTTACGGGTACACAAAATTCTGCTTCGAGCTAAATATTCAGTCGTACAAAGACTTGGCAGACTGAATTCTTGTCTTCTTGCTTTTTGCTTTCTGGATCTTCTCCTCAGACTTTTCATTCTTTGATACAGCCCTAGCAATTGCTTTCATTTTCCTAGCATTCTGTGACCTTTTCATATGCACTCCCTTTTTTATTTTCCTAAATAAAGAGACAAAGAACAGACTGAGGACATGTATCTAGTCCACAACAATGTAAATTTCAGAAAACACAGCTAAGCATATAACAGAAGTAAGGGACAAGCTTTTTAGGGCATTCATTAAATATTCACTTTTAGTGTCCTGTAATAAAACTTTCAAATGTAGTTACTGAAGGGGATAAGAGAGCAGTAACTTCAATAATTCACTCTTAGTAGCCTATAATATCTAATGTATGAAGAGATACCTCACTAAGACCAGATGCATCTAGGCAGTTGACTACAGCTCAACCTTACATGGCCATAGAAGAAAACTATGTTGATCCTCAGGAGTCTACTAGTGAACTATAAATGCTAATTAGGTCAAAACAGAAAATCAAGTTAACCCAACTTGAGTGCAAACTTCCATACTACAAACTGAGCTGTGAAAGCTCATGAGACACTGATAAGTATTTGGTAGACGCAGTAGGTTTGGGCTATTTGGGCAAATGAACATTGGTGTGAAGATACAGCCAGTTTTGTTTCCACAGTGAAGATCTAAGAACTGAAAAGAGGTGTACCCACGTGTGTACAGTTTGCTTGTAGTTAAGATCTTTCAGTCATAACTACTTAACAAGTCCTCCACAACTACCATGGATGCCAATTATTTTCCATTTGTTGACTTCTGAAAACTTTGACTTTTCTCAACAACTTCCAATCAATTGATTTTTTTTGTTAAATAATCCACATAACACATAAGAATGATATCCAAACCAGATGTTGCTGCTTTATGTCAATTAATGGAGCATATTATACTAACACATTTCACAAGCCAAGTCAGAGCAATATGCTTGAAAAATCCACAATCCTCACATCCAAAGGTGCATTGCAGAAACAATTTCCTAGTCGTTTGGAACAGCATGCATGGAGCGCACATACAATTTGGTATATAAATCAAGGTATTGACACATTGAGAAACTATTCATGGTTAAAGTGTATTTTCAACATAAAATTGAGGAGGTATCTCATGTTGGAAAACCTGAGGGGTTTCGAATTTATAAATGTTAAATCAAATTTGGGTTACAAGGAAATTTCCAGAAAAAAAGGATAATAGAGGGAGGCTGTCGCTGGGCCACTTCAATGTTTGGGTCAAGTTAGCCAGCTGGCTGCCTGCTCCACCCATGCCTTACCTCGTGAAGGAAGGCAGCAGCTGCAGCAGCTCCTGCCTCCACCTTCTGCGGCATATCTCCACAATGGGCACAGATCAGCTGGCTGTGAGACCCTACCAGAGAGGCTTCAAACACAGAGCAGAGTCTCCCTTCTCCATCAGAACACACAACTCTCCACCAGATCTCCACATCTCCCTGTTGTCCAGTTCCACTGCAGTCCCTGTGCTCCTTTGGGCTGTGTGGCAGAAGCTCAGCGGCTCACTGGTATTGTGCTGGCAAGCTCGTGCTGTGCTGTGCATGTGGGTGCGGCCCTGGTGCTTTTGTGCCAGCAGTTATCACAACCACGCTATGGACATTGTGTTTCCGGTGCAAGGTGGCTGTGCACCAACCAGAGGTCACCTATCCCCGCGCGACACAAGCACAGCATAATGCGTGCACAACACCACCCATGCCAGTGAGCTGATCGAGCTCTGTCACCATGCCTCAGCTACGCACAGTCACACAAACAACCACTGCTTAGGGCTGCAAGCTCACCAAGATAACACCATGGCTGAGCACCACCACCGAGCCACAGGGATCACATGAGACCAGCACAAACCATACTGACCTAACCAGGACACAAGCATGCCACAGCCTTTTCGTGCTTTTGCTTAGTCACAACCGTACAGTCACTAGGCACCATGCACAGAACGAGGAGACGAATACGCACAGGGCTAGCAGCCTAGCACTAAAGCATCACTGGACAGGAAGATGGAGAGCAGGTGGAGGAGAATGGGGAGGTTTCTGTGCTCTGATTGCCAAGATTTCACAGTCTTATGGCATGCCACTCCACGCCCATTGTAGAGAAGTGCCGCATAGGGCGAAGGTGGGTATGCCCTCCACTGACCACAGCCAGCAACCCAGTTAGAACAGAGGCACGAGCTGCAGCCACTGCGTTCCTGCACGAGGAAGGGCTAAGGCACCATCAGAGCAGACAGGTAGCTGGTCTGCTCGGCCTTGGGCCTTGAAATGGCCTAGCAGCAACTGCTCCCCTTATTCTTTTTTTTTTTCATTTTCCTTTTCCTTTTTCTGTAAACTTCCTTCTAATTCAAATTCGACTTCAAATTCTTGTGGCACTCAATTGTGTCCGTGACAGTTGACACACAATCACACATAGAGATCATTACAAGTCGCATAAAAATTAACGCTGATACACACCAAAGTCCAAACTAAAAGGTTTCCCTACCTACTAAAGCAACCTAGCTAGCAAAAACGGCGTGCCGAGCATATCAACCCACATTGACATATTATTATTGTTGGATTGATTTTCAGTGTTCCACCAAAAACAATGTCACAATAATACGGCAGATTATTGAAGGCCCGGCATAAAGATTGACAGAACGACCCTCTGTGCGCACATATATAATTATAAAAGTAATAGTAATTACTGCACTGCAATTTTTTAGCATACTTGTTGATCGAACCGAGAACCGCGGTGGCCGACGATGGCTGCTTTCCGTCGGACGTATCCATTGCTGCCAGGCAAAGAAGAAAAAATCATGAACGGAAGCCAAAAGAGGCGAACACAAAAACACCCCAAAAATAAAAGAAATTGACAGGGGAAATTACGTTGTGGGGCGTCCGTGGCGGTGGATGTGGCGGGGCCGCCCTCAGAGATGTCCATGGCGGCGACGCCGCCGCTCTTCTTGGCCTTGTTCTTCTTGTTCCGGTTCTTCGCCATGGCTGCGCGGCGCGACCTCCTGGTCCAGGTCCAAGGGGCTAGGGTTTCTCGGGGCTTTGGTGGTGGTGATCTCGGAGGTCGGAAGTGTTTGTTGGAAGCCGGAAATACACACGACAATTTGGGCTGGGAGTTGTGAGGAATCAGGTGCATTTTGATGGGCCGTTGTTACATTCCATGTCTGGGCCAAATACAATTATGAACCCAACCATTTGTTTTTATTTTTTTTTTCCTCTCTTGTGTTTACTGTTCTCATCCTAAAAAAAACTGCTTTCAAATCAAATGTATTGACAATGTACAGTACATAGACTTCTTTGTTTTATTGCAACGAGAAAAAGGCTCACATATACAAAAAGTGCCGAACTTGGATTCGTCCTCGACAATGAAACCACCCTTACTATTCTCAATTTCTCATGTATCAAGTTGGTGGAGCCGAAGCTTATAGTTATAGGCACATGAGTCAAGAACCAACCACAGGCACGTAAATGCCTCACTAGACGATTTGACTGGGAACATATGAAAAGAATTGACAGTTGGTGGCGGAAATTTATCTTCTCTGCATGCTATGTCTGCATCCACGTGCAGTCTGTTCGTTTGATCGTATTTATTTGGTCGTATTTGATCGTATTTATTTGGTCGTATTTAGCTTATAAGCCATGGCTTATCAGCCAATAAACAATATTTTTCTCTTACACCAAATCAGGCAACAGTACTCTCGGTCATAGCTTATAAGCAAAACAAACAAACAGGGCAATCCACCTCAGGTAAAGCGTAAGCCGGTCGGCCTGCCGTCCTGAAGTCAAACGTCCTGACTGCACGGCCGCCACGTCCGAGCTCCAACCCACGTCACAACAATTGAAAAATCGCTCTTGCTGAATCTCCAGCGCTCCAGACGTCGCGGCGCAGATCGGTCGTCAAAGCGTCACCACCGGAAAAAGAAAAGAAAAAGAAATGCGGAACAGCCAAATAAAGGTATCCGTCGACGACGACGAAGTCCTATGGATCATCTAGCGATCGACAAACCCAGGCCATGCATCCCAATCATCCCTCGCCGCCACCACCGCCTGCCCCGGCGGAAACCGCAACCACGCACTGATGCACAGCACATACGGCGGCGTCGGTCGAGCATGGCTCTGTCAGCACTCAGCCGGGAGCTCCCATCCGGTGCGTGTAGCCGCCGTGCGTCCATGCCCGAGCCCATGGGAGTGCAGCCCGTGCGACGAAACAGGGGCCCCAATTTTCAGGGCCTATAGTTTTCAGCACTTAGCCTAGAAAGCCCACAGTTTTTAGCCTAGACTTCTATTCCGTCTGTCTGTCGCTTCGCTTCCGCTCTTCCATCTTTTTAGCCGAGACTTGTATCGTTTGATCACGTCTCCGCTCTTCCGTCTTCCCTTCGCCGACTCGGCAAGATCGCAGGACGGTGGCCGTCGGAGCGAACAACAGTGCGGAGTTGCTGCAAGTCGGTAGGTCGCCACTCGATCGCCAGGTCCGTAGCCAGCGGGAGTGCAGCGCGATAGGACTCAGGCAGCCATACGTCAAGTCTCCAGTATACTAATCTGGTTCACTTAATTTTTAATTTTTAATTTTTAATATTTTAATCTATGTTGATGGGTGATGACTAATATAATATTGATCCATCTAGGTGTTTAGTTATCTTTGTTCTGAATTATCTAGCGACGGTCAGATTGAGATAGAAAATATTTATAGTCCTTTTTTTTAAGGGAGGTAGGCCTCATTTTAGAGTTTCCTACATGGCCTCGAATTTTGCCGTCGCTTTCCTCCCTCTGGCCCAGCGAGTGCGCCGCTGCTCTCCCAGTCCCAGCTCCACTCCCACCAAACAGAGCACGCACGCGGCGTCGCTTTCGCCGGGACTGGACTGGCGCGTCGTGATTGGCCCGGCTCACCAAACCTGCAGGCGCCGGCGGGGCGAGGAGGATGGACAGATACCACGCAACGTGGTGCGCTTTCCGGGGCGGCGCCACGGGCCGGCCGGACACGACAATCGTAAACGGCAAAGCAAAGCGAAGCAAGCGTGCAGCCGGCCCAGGCAGGCCGTCGTGTACTCGTGTCGTCCGAGCGGCCACGCAGAAAAAACCGCGGCGGCAGGGCGCGTGATGGGGAGGTCGCCTCATGTCGTTTCCCTGTCACTCTGAAAGCCTGGATGGTGCTTGGTCCCGTTCGTTTCCGTATGGCGTACTACGGCCGCTCGGGCATGGAAATGGGATGAGATATTTTTGCCTGCATGAGAGTATTATTATTACACGTACAATTCACACATGAATCAGTTCACCTAAAAACGAGTGAGTAGGAGCAGAGACGAAGGGGGGGGGGGGTTCTTCGTGAGATAATATTCCTCTAATATGTTGTTTTTCGTCATCCTTTGAAAGCATATCAACTGATTCCCTCCTAATGTTGTTCTAGGTCGTGTCTGTTTCCGATGGCCGCCACCATCGCAAAATCGAAATAATCCCACTAAACACACTGCAAGAATCGTCGATTCTTTTCACCGCGCGAGACATGACCACCGCAATAATGATCTACGACTCGTGTGTTTTCGTGCCGTGGGCAGGAGGCCGCGATACCAATACTACAAAGGTGTTTGCGGCGCGGCTAGGGATTTCAATAGATCCTCGATCCTGAATTCCTCATAAGGAATTCCTTTATTAGGTTATTATTTATATTCCAAGATGCATGGGGCGAGGATCCTTGTAGAGATTATTCCCCGTGCAGAGACAGGGATGAGGACCAAATCTCCCCCGTGAACTTTCGTGAACGGGGACGGTGATTTTCCCTCGTACGGGAATGGGGATTGGGATTGGGGAGCCATTCCCATGTGATGCACTTAGTGGGGATGAATTAAGAAGATGGAAGAGACTAACATCCGGGCCCTAGCCAGCTGGCGATTGTCTAACGATCCAAAAGGACCATTTGTCCTCTCGTTTCCATCTCTTGTAACGAACATAAACTAAAACACGGATAACCCCGATCTCTTAATCCGAATAAAGATGACATCCCGTCCCAGAAATTCAAGACGACACGCTTCATCAGCAAATCAAACACATCATAGAGTTATGCAATGTATCAAAGCATGTACTCCCTCCATCCATAAAAGAATGCACGGATCCGTGCCGGTTAACCTAACTTAAGTAGTATTACTATTTATGTCTCCAAACAAATTTATTATAAAAATATATTATATAACTAATCTAATGGTATTTTGACTCCTCGAAAAACGAAAATTGCAATATTTTATGGACAGATGGAGTATAAAAAGTGGGATGTCACGGGGCCACAACTGTTTCCTGCAGAGGATTTATTTTTATCAGGTCAACAAGCGTCAGTCAGGAGAGACGACAATGGCGTTTCTCTTGAATAGGTGTGTCCCTTGCACTTTTGTTATTGTGAGCCACTATAGATGTAGACTAGCACGATACACGCGCTTCGCTGCGCGCGCACCTGCTATACACGGCCATGGTAATTATGTTGGTTTAATATATCGATTTAGACCATACGTGTTGATATGTGTAGATAGGTGGTGCATTGCTATGGGGCGACGACTGCATCACCGGTACATCGTTCTAGGCTTCTCGCTGTAGCAATGTGCGTTTATTGGTTTTAGGCTGCTATATATGATTTTTCACATGAATTTTACTTAGAATCTGACATCGTAAGTAGTAAAAATGAAGGCAATAAAACCAGTTACTGATCTGACTCATGCAGTAAACAGAACTCCCACTATAAATTTATATTCTATAGATAAATAAATTGAACATGGCGTCTAAATTATTAAGATGAAGAATCGCATAATGACCATGTACAGAAGGACAGGCAACCGATATGGCCAAGGATGACACATTGTTTTCCAATAAAACAAAGATTGATCATCATAAATACTAAATTTTGTAGCTTCTCTACCTCCTAGTTGCTAATTCCCATAATATCATGACACCAAACTGAACAGTTTCTCCGTACCAAGATGAACCAAATACTTTAGCTGAAGTTGAGAACCTGCACATATCGGGTGTCGTCATATCACATTATAGTAAGTAGGAACATAACAATGTAACACCTATCAGAGCATTATGCATAGATAGATGCCAGAGTAGACGAGACAAACAGGGGAAGCCTATTTAGGTCTTACGAATTGAAACTCCAACAAAACTTAGTTTGATTTATTACACTTACTGAGTGTTCCAAAAGTAGAAATTGTTCCATAAATGAAAAGGATAAATTAAACAACCCGAACCATGCCAGCAAAATATGGCACTATATACTTTGCTAAGATTGACCTTTTCAAGTAGGACCTGACTACATGAAATTTTTTTGAGCTAGGCATAGAGGCATCTTTTTTAATATGATCCTATTTTGAATAGAAGGGGAAAACAACTAACCATTCAGACTTAGAATTATAAAGGAATCCGCTCAGATAAGTGAACATATAATTTTTAATCAATACAAAAGGCACGTTGCTTGTCTTGACTATTATAATCTCACCTTAAGAGTATATCCTCAACTAACATTAAAAAAGGATACAATTGGAGTAACCTCTCCTTTTCGTCTACTCAAACCAACTGGTCTGTAAAAAAGCAAGTTTCTTTTTTATAGCTACAAAAAGATGTGCTAGAATAGATGAAATAAGGAGGCGGCAAAGTTCATTCCTACCATTGAGGCGGTAATTGGAGAACAAACAGAATTCACATATCATGTTTATAGGATCCACACACCATGATGAGTTTAACTACGTAGCACACCACAGAGGGATGAGTTGCAAGTCCAAACATCTGCAAAGTACATATCTAGTCAAATGTATAATCCTGATCCATTAGCACCAGCATGCATACATAATTTTCTGAATGAAACAAATTAAGGGACAACTGAAAAATTCAACATACAAACCAATTGTTCTAAACTGATTTATGGAAAGCTAAGTTTTTTTGAGCTAAAAAAGCAAACTGTAGGGAATGATCAAAATTTCCAAGGTAACTACTTTATTAGGTCATCTA